TAAACAGACACATATCTTTAAGCTGAAATGAGTAATCTATGTTAAATTTAGCACTCCAATGTACAACTGCTTAGTTTCTTTAGAAGCCCAGAGAAAATACTTCTTTGATCTTCTGAAACTGGACATATTTTAACTTTAGTTTTGAAAAGCTCCCATTAGGAACAGGGTTTACGTAAATATAACTGCAAATACTAATGGGGGGGGAGGAGAAGAGCACTGATCATTTTGAAACACGTGACTGTAAGCCCTTCAGGACAGACTTTATCTTTTTAAGCAGTTGTGACAGATGCCTTATAGGAGGTGGATAAAAACAAAAAGGCCTAGATCCACTGAAAGATGTTTAGGTCTAACTTATTTCCCATCAGCTTCAGAGTAAAGCAAGAGGCAAGTCAGGTCAATCTGCTCCAAGGAATGAACGCTCAGGATTCAGTATGAGTCTCAGAACCTGCAGCCTTGAGCTGACCCCTTGAGTACTAAGAAACTCACCAGGTTACCACAGCCTGTCAAAACTCTTATGACAATGATTTATGAGCTGCTATATAAACAGGTGACTCTGAACTCAAAGCACAAGGAAAAGAAGAGGGACTTGGTGGCTAACAGCAGGCCCTGCACACAGAGGACAAGACGAATGGACACTAGTGCTCGCAGACTATGGGGCAAATTTCAAGTGTCTGAAGGAAGGATGGTAATTTCTCCATTACCATCAAACTGGGACTCCTACAGAGATCATAGCCGTCTCCTTAAGGAGTTTCATCAGCATCACCTATGAGTCAAATTTTAGATTTAAATGGCAAAACAGGCTCATCAATAATTAGGTCCTGAAACACAACCAGATTAACAGCATAAAATAAACGCGTGTTACAAAACAGCTCTACAGGGCTAGATTTATACAGCAGGATACCCAGCCAATGACAGGGCAGGGGAAAGGCCTTAACATCGATGTATAACAGAACTTTAGATGGTACAATAGCTGTAAGAGCAGAAACGGACCCCCTTCCCACAACAGACACACAAAGCAGAATAAAAACAGCACAGAGCCACACAATTCGGACTTAGAGGGATCTGCCACTCACACAGGCCAACCCACCTCACTTCACAGATGGGAAGACTAAAGCCCAGAAAAGTCATCTAAGATGATCCAGACTGTACTCTAGGCCCAGTGTCTCCACTCTACCTCACTAGACCAGCTTTCTCTCCAAAAAACAAGGGACAAAATCTGCCCTTCTTATTGTTGGCTGATTGAACAAAGGATCCCCCAATCTTGGAACTCTTTCTTTCCTTTACTCTCCATGACTAAAAGCTAAACAGACTAATGTTCCAACAGATTCCCCAGAAAAGCCAAAACTCCCCAAAGTGGGTACAGGACTGGAACCTGTACAGAGCCACCATCACGTCACTGCAGAATCACAGCAATCCACTTTCAGATCCTTTTCACATACATTTACTCCCCAGGAACCATGGCTCACTAGAGAAAGGAGTCTGACTCCACATCAGCTCAATGGGATTGTGCCAGAATCCAGAAGAGCCTCAGATGTGAAGCAAAGCAAACTTCGCAATATTCAAGAGAGAGGGAAATTTCCTATAAGCCTCAGGGAACCTTTCCCAGAAGGCCTCCGGCTGCTGAGAAAGAAAAGGGTTGCTGTGGGTCATTATAGCTATGAATTCAATTTCATCATTCTTAAAGGTTGTCAGCCACATGTAGGTTCTGTTTTCCCAACAAACCAAAGGAAAAATGTCATTCAGGGATCAGAAGAAAACGTTGGGAGGAGTGCATGCTGGGAAAGAGCATCTCACTTACTGAGCTGAGTGATGAACGATGGAGCTCCTGCCTGACTTCCCTGTAGCATCTCAACCCTAAGGCCGCATGACACAGACTCTACACAATCTTTTTTCAGGTTATCAATGGGGTGTGGTTGCCAGATTAGGATTTTTTTGGCTTTTATTCTCAAAGTCTTTCTAGTGTCATATTACCACTAAGAATATCGGGAGGAAAAACAAATGCTAAACCAAAGATAAAACAGAGGAAAAGATTAAACCGATAAGGCAGGTTAAAAGATTTCTCTATTAAGAAGACATTATCCCAAATGAATTGCTTTAATTCCTAGTGTGACAAAGTTGGATTGGTTGCCTTGGTTGATCATACAGAAGCAAGAGATTACATTGTTTCTAAACCATAGAACTTCAGGCCCCTAATGACAGTTACTGAAACCAGGCTAACTAAAGACATTAAACAAAATTCAGGCTCTTATAAAACTCCAGGACTACCAAACTTTTGAACACCCAATCTATATACCAATGACATCACAGATTTAGATGCTTAAGGTTCAAAAGAGAAAGTAAGAACAACAAGTTCTAGAACATACAAATTCACTGTTTGAATATAATTCTTTAGAGTTCCAGTCAAACAAAACAGATACAATACAAAAGCCCAATATCACTAGTATCAAAAATTAAAGTTTGTTTCTAAGTAGTAACACATATTAATTAAATTACTTTGAAGTAGCCTTGAGAGTGATCATTTTAGGACATTCTACCATTTCAATTGCCAAATAAACTCAGAGCATTTAGTCTCTGGAAAAAACACACATTAATTCATATTTATCTGTAAAACGTCAAAAATATCTGCCCTATCTACTGTACAAGATGGCTGAAAATGAAAATCAAAATGAGACAGCATGTGAAAGTATTTGATAAGCACATAAGTCATAACACGTTGTAAGTCAGTAAGCGATAGAATTTACACAAAGAACAGTTAAATGCGAGTAATGCTTTAATTAGGTTTGGTAAAGGAGGAGGAGACTAGGAGTCACTAACCAGGAGTTTAATCCTACTTCAGCCATCAAGTACTAGAAACTTCACTGTAATACAAATCACCATTGCCTACTGATCCCAACTTTTTTATTTGAAAAGTAACAAAATTGGACAGGGGGGCCTCAGGTCCCTTTTGGCTCTGCCACTATGATTAGTAATACTTCTCACCTAAATTACTGCTATTATAATTAACATCTCACGTTATTAAATATTTTCATTATGGGCCACCATGTCATAAGTGGATAGCCCACCTTTCCTAATTCAGCAGTGATACTTCTACCTTTGTAGACCTGTGTGCACACCTGGGAGGGGTTCAAAGCACTATTACCTATTTCTTCACAGAGTGGGTCAAAGATTAAATGAGACGAAGACACATTTTATCCCTCATTTATCAGACTAGTGAGGTGAAGTCATCGACATACAACCCACAGCTAAGAAGAGTGAAAGCTGGAAGCAGAAAGCAGGTCCAAGGTTCTCCTCATTCAGGGAAAACTGAGGCTCTGAAACGGAAATGCAACAGAGAGAGTCCTCTGATGTCCAATCTGCTGTGGCAGAAAGGAAAGCAGTCCCTGCTTCAACACATGTGCTAACCTAGAGTCACCGGTCTTTCTCTGTGCCAGGGATAATGTAAGGAACACAAGACAAATTCCTGGCCTCAATGAGCTTACACAGTGGTTGGGGAAGATCCACAAAGTAAATGAATAAAATGTAGGTTATATTATAGTGGTAAGTGCTATGGAGAAAAATGAAGCACAGAAAGGGAACACAGAGCATGTGTTTGGTGATTTGCAATTTTCTTTTAAGCCAGCTGGATGCCACTTAAAGAACTACAATAATGTCCCTAAAGTTGTTTTCCTAAGCATTCCCCCAAGCAGGGGAAATTTTGGATACAGGGAAGATAGTCTGCTGATTCTAATCTTGTATTGACTGTTCAAAGCTCTGAACTACCAGCTATGAGCTATCTGTCAAGTTGGCAATCTAAATTCCACACTAACAATGACTCCCCTCAACCCCACCTTTAAATCTACAAAGAGTGCAAATGGATTTAAGAAAGAGCCAGAAGGAGCCAGGAGACGTTACCAGAGCACTTGAACTGCTTCTGAGTTAGCATAAATGTCTGTTAATGCAAAGGTTAAAATGTATTTTGGATGCCGAGTTCTGCTAGGACAAAGCACTAAGAATACATTTTGCTTTTTCTGACCTGTCAATTCTAGTGACATTCTCTACTATTAGTCTATATTTAACCAGCTTACTGGGCACTTTCTCCAAATTTTAGCATATTTTTTCTTTTATTAAAGGAGCAACCTAGTTTGCAAGAAAGTTGCTGTAAGAAAAGATAACAGCCCCCTGCAAGATGTGATACACTTGTATGAGCACTGTCTTATCAACCTTTAATTCACCTCGTTAGTTGAGCTGGCAAATGAGGCTAAGCTTTGTTTTAAAACGCCTTCTCTAAGTCGCTTAAATCTCATGGTCCTCGGGTTGTAATTGCAACCTGAGAATTACAGTTAAGTCTTTTAAAATGTGCTACAGCTTACTTTAACATGTGTCTGTAACGCATTGCCCTTTTTTTTAAACACAAGGGAGTGGAAAAGTCACTTTTGAGAAGAACTTGGGCTTGGGGGGGCGGGGACAGGGGCTGGTCGGATCGTCTATCCCAAGGAAAAGATCAAACGGGGTTTTTCCTCTACCCACACCGGAGGAGAGGTGTTCGGCTTCTCCGCGGGAGAGGCGCTCCCTCGCCGAGTTCGCAGCGCCGGGCCCGGCCCACTGTGAGTCGATTTGCAGGCGAACGGCCGGCAAACTTCAGCCGGGATCCGCCAGCAGGGCCCGGGCGAGGGGGCGGCCCTTCCTGG